CCCCCAAACCCCAAACTCCCCCAAATCCCCCCCAAAACCCCTCACATCCTCTCCAAACCCCTCACACCCCCCAAAACACAACCCCCAAACACCCCCAAACCCCTTGCATCTCCTCCAAACCACGCCAACCCCTCCAAACCCCAAACCCCCCGTGTCCCCTGTCCCCTGTCCCCTGTCCCAGGTGGCTCCGTGCCTACGAGAGCGCCCTCTCGTTCCACTTCAGCAATTACTTTGTGGCCTTCCTGTCCGAGGCCACGGCCACGCTGGCGGGCTCGGGCCACACCGAGCGCCACGAGCACCTGCACTGGTGAGGGATGGGGACAGGGACACCCCGAGGGGACAGGGACACCCTGAGGGGACAGGGACACCCCGAGGGGACAGGGACTGCGGGGACAGGGACACTGCAGGGACAGGGACACTGTGGGGACAGGGACACTGCGGGGACAGGGACTGGGGACAGGGACACCCTGCGGGGACAGGGACACCCTGTGGGGACAGGGACACTGCAGGGACCGGCACTGGGGACAGGGACACCCTGAGGGGACAGGGACACCCTGTGGGGACAGGGACACTGCGAGGACAGGGACTGCGGGGACAGGGACACTGTAGGTACAGGGACACATTGTGGGGACAGGGACACACTGCAGGGATGGGGACTGCACCCTGAGTGACACTGACAGTGTGACACTGACCCCTGTGTGACACTGCTAGTGTGTGGCATTGACCCGTGTGTGACACTGATAGTGTGACATTGATAGTGTGACACTATGACACTGATAGTGTGTGACATTGACCCGCGTGACACTGACCTGTGCGTGACACTGTGACACTGATAGTGTGTGACACTGACCCGCGTGACACTGACCTGTGTGTGACACTGAGTGTGTGACACTGGCTGCCAGTGACACTGCCACGTGTGTGACACTGTGACACTTAGAGTGTGTGACACTGCCCTGTGTGTCACACTGTCCCTGATGTCCCCCGTGTCCCCAGGGACCTGGCGGTGTCCCTGTGTGTCACACTGTCCCTGATGTCCCCCGTGTCCCCAGGGACCTGGCGGTGTCCCGGCCCCTGCGGGTGGAGCTGCCGCGCTCCATGGCCGAGGTGGTGACAAACTGGAACCTGCCCATGTCCCGCTGGCTGCACACCTGTGAGCACTGGGGACACTGGGGGGGTGCCCTGGAGCCCGCATTGGTCACACCGGTGTCCCACACCGGTGTCCCTGGTGTCCCCTGCAGACGTGTTCCAGACCGCTCGCTGCCTGGGCACCTTCGCCGCCGTGCTGGGCACCTACGCAGCCAGCGCCCTGCTGCACGTGAGGGACCCAAAACACCCAAAAACCACCCCAAAAACATCCCAAAAATACTACCTCAAAACACCCCAGCGCCCTGCTGCACGTGAGGGACCCAAAAACACCCTAAAAAACCCCAAAACCACTTCAAAACACCTAAAAACACCCCAAAAACCCACCCTGGGCACCCCCAAACCCCCCCTTCAAATCACCCCAGCGCCCTGTTGCATGAGAGGGACCCCAAAAACCCCCCAAACCATCCCAAAAGCATCCCAAACCCCACCCCAGTGCCCTGCTGCCTGTGAGGGACCCCAAACCCCAGCAGTGTCCCCCTGCACATGAGACCCCCATCCCAACTCCCCCCTGGGGACCCCAAAACCCCCCGGGACTCCTTGGAACCCCAAAACTCTGCGACACCCCCAACCCCTGCTGGGCTCCCCTCGAATCCCCCCTGGCCCCCCAGTCTGCTGGGGGACACCCCCAAAGCCCCCTTGGCCCCCCAAAGCCCCCCACT